CCTCCTGAATATTTGACATCTCTTAGCCTTCTCCGTCCACACACACACACACACACACACACACACACACACACACACACACACACACACACACACACACACACACACACACCAGGCGCTTCTGAATGCTCGTATAGGCAAGGGTTATACGCTTTTACGATACACCTCAACCCATGAAGTAAAATAACTCAATCAGACTAGTCGACGGATGATGAGGGGCGAATGTTTCTCTCAACGACGGATGATGAGGGGTAGTAAGAGTGGCCAGGGGAGGAGGAGGAGGAAGAGGGTCTAAGAAGAAGAAGATAGATGGCTTGGGTTCTTCTTCCTTCTTCTTGTTCTTGTTCTTGTTCTTCTTGTTCATCGTCTTCTTCGCTGACCAGATGTAATAACTTTATACATCAAGGTCTCTGGTCTGGGTGTTACCTTTAGCCCTCAGGTAAGGATGATGAAGTTGTTGAGGAAACTGTGATGGAAGGATGATTGATGGTTTGGGTTGATAGATGGTAGATTTGAGTGATTGACAGATGAGTTGATGATTGACAGATGATTGGTACCTTTTGGATGGATAATTGGGCGTTGGATGGATAGATGTGTTGACGATGAATAGATGAATAAAATAGGTGGAAATAAACAAAAAATAAAATACAACAGAAAAAAGAGAGAGAGAGAGAGAGAGAGAGAGAGAGAAAGAGAGAGAGAGAGAGAGAGGTGTGTGTGTTTGCTCGCCGTCTCTTCATTTACGGAAGCTTCGCCGCTAAGCATACTGTGTCCCTTCGCCCAAGTGTTCTGTAAGTAGTAGCAGCGTATACACCACCACCACTATCACCACCACCATCAACCCATCAACCAACCAACCACCATCAACCAACGAACCAACAACAACCACCACCACCATCAACACACCACCACCATCAACCACCACCATCACCGCAAACCAACCACCACCACCATCAACCAACCAGCCAACCCAACCAACCACCACCATCAACCAACCACCACCACCATCAACCAACGAACCAACCAACCACCACCACGCCAACCAACCACCACCACCACCATCAACCACCACCATCACCATAAACCAACCACCACCACCATCAACCAACCAACCAGCCAATAACCACCACCAACACCACCCACCAACAGACAACCAACCACCACCATCAACCAACCACCACCACCACCATCAACCACCACCATCACCATAAAACCAACCACCACCACCATCCAACCAACCAACCAACCAACCACCACCACCATCACCAACCACCACCACCATCAACCAACCAACCAACCCAACCACCACCACCACCATCAACCATCACCATCAACCAACCACCACCACCATCAACCACCACCATCACCCCATCAACCAACCAACCAACCAACCACCACCACCATCAACCAACCACCACCATCACCCCATCAACCACCATCAACGAAACAGTGGTACTAGCCGCCTCATAGACCCGTCGGCTACTAAAATACCCAGACTTTATCTTGACCCATGATTGACACAGCCCAAGACAACTTGATTTGCGGTCCCAACTATCCAGCCAACTCCGCAATTACTCCATCACCCTAATAATACCAGGACGGGGGGGTAGGGGGGGTAGGGAGGGAGGGAGGGGGAGAGGGAGAGGCTGATGCAGTCTTTTGTGGCCAGGGCGAAAAAGTTTTATGTAGGCGGTAATAAGTAGTTTCTTGATAGTGTGTGTGTGTGTGTGTGTGTGTGTGCGTGTGCGTGTGTGTGTGTATGTATTTAATAAGCTCTTAAAGTCACCCCACATTATCTTAGTAAATTATTAAGAAGTGAATACCTCAGTGTAAAGACAGTTCTCACCTGAGTTAACACCTTATTAGTGGGGCGAACTAGCAAGGTGTTAAGAGATTACACGAGGTTGTTAGCCATGATTCGGTCGTTAAGAGAACATGGCAGTGTGGGATTTAGTTTTCCACCGTATCGCCAATTATGCAAATTAGAAACGCCAATTAACCTGGAACATGTGTAAAGGTGGTTGTTAGGTGTTCTGCCGCCCGGTGAACAGTAGCGAACATAAGAAGATGTGGTGTACCTCAAGGCGAGCAGCTACTCTCATTACTATTTCTGCTGGTTTTTTCTACCACAATTATCAACTACCATTTACTGCTGCTTCAACCACAATTATCAACTACCATTTACTGCTGCTTCAACCACAATTACCACTACCATTTACTGCTGCTTCTACCACAATTACCACTACCATTTACTGCTGCTTCTACCACAATTACCACTACCATCACTACTGCTGCTTCTACCACAATTACCACTACCATCACTACTGCTGGTACTGCTTCTTCTACTACCACAATTATCACTACCACAATCACTACTGTTGTTGCTTCTACCACAATTACCACTACTACGTCTACCATAATTACCATTCCAACCACAATTATTACCACACCGCCACAACTAATTCTGCTTTTACCACTACCACTAACAATACTCTCACCAATACCACCACAACAATCACCGCAACAATCACCACAACAATCACCGCTACCACCACCAGTCCCGCGAGAGGGTGAGGGCAAGAAATATATATATATTTTTTTTAAATTACATGAAGATTATTACTATTAAAACTGGTTACTCTAGGTTGAGTTAGGTTAGGTTAGGTTATCCTCCTGTTCGACACTGTACCGAACCCGCACGAGACAATACAACGCCATCTATGAGTAAAGACAAACTGTTCAGAGATTCGTTCCAGCAGTTCAGAACCTTGGATGAGTCGAGGCACTTAATTGTTCACGACTGTTCACTAATTCCTTTCTGACTTAGAGAGAGAGAGAGAGAGAGAGAGAGAGAGAGAGAGTTACCCTACGTGTTACTAAGTAAGGAAATAAAAACATAAGCTGGTAACCGTATTAGTTGCGTGTTTGATCACTAGATGGTGTTGTGATAAGAGGAGTGAGAGAAGCGCTTTCAACTCCTGCATCCGGGGTCTCTATTGATTGAGTATCTCCTTTTAAAGTTTTGCCCACACCACTATCACCACCACTCCTACCACCACCACCACTATCAGTAACTAGTCAACCACCACCAGTATCACCAACCAGTCAACCACCACCACTATCACTAACTAGTCAACCACTATCACCACCGCCACTGTCACCACCACTACCACCACTATCACCACCACCAGAACAGACAGATACATCCTTGGGTTAACTTATACTCAATTAAGACGCCAAGAATAATATTGTGTTCGACTGCCAGTATAACAAGAAGTCTTTAATATGTATGTATGTGTGTGTGTGTGTGTGTGTGTGTGTCATATTCTAAGAAAAGTTTCCGTGTTCAGATTCACCTAACCAAAATTAGCACTAACCTAACCTAACCTAAACCAAACGTAACCCAACCCAACCCAACCCAACCCAACCCCCTTCAGGTAACGCAAGGTGTGTTTAATCATCAGGTGAAATAAGCTCCAAGAATCTTCAGGTGATCAGACGAGACGAAGGTGGATCTCTGAAATCTAAAGTCAGGTGTGTCGACAGAACGCGGCCCCTGACACGTGGTCTTGTTTACAAACATTAGAAGGCGATTTGTCAACAGTTGCCAGGTCTTAAAATAAACTCAAATTGGTTCGTAATAGGAAATGTGTCTGCGTGTGAGAGAGAGAGAGAGAGAGAGAGAGAGAGTAAAGGTTTATCTTTAATGATGGAAGTGAAAGTTAATATTCTCTCTCTCTCTCTCTCTCTCTCTCTCTCATCGTTTTTTTCACCTTCCACACGAGTTATCAGTTCCGCCTGGCTGCTTCTTATTATCGCCTCGTATGGCTAAATACACTTTATAATTTATGTTTGATTTTGGTCTATCTATCTATCTATCTGCTGTGCCTTACTGATGGGAGAGCTGATTAGAAGGGACAACAACAATAATTAATAACAACTACAACAATAATAATAATAACAATAACAATAATAATAATAATAATAACAACAACACCTGATCTGTTCCTCGTCCCTCAGTGAGCAGTCAAGCGTTAAATTATGGTCGTAAGATTTTTTTAGCTGTCTTCTATGTTAGCAAAGTGCTTGATTGAGTCCGCGGGGGAGGTTACGCGCACACATACATACACACACACTTACGTTCACACACATATTTACATTCACACACACACGTACAGGAACTTGGTACGGACATCTCAGGTAAACACACAAGGTAATTATCGAGGCCTTACCTGTTTTATCACCACCACCACACCTCCAACACCACCACTACCACCATAATCTCACCTACTACCCTGTCTTCTCTTCCTCCTCCTCCTCCTCCTCCTATCCATGCCTTTTCTTCCCTCTCCTCCACCTCCACCTTCTTCTTCCTCTCCTTCCATCCTGTTCTTACCGTTTCCCTTCCCCTCCTCTTATTCATACCTCTTCCTCTCTCCTCCTGCTCGTCTTCTAACCTCTTCCTAATCTCCTCCTCCTCCTCCTCCTCCCTCTTTTTCCTCTTCCTCCTTCTCCTCTCCTCCTCCTCCATACTGTCGCCGGACCTTGCACACTCACGCCCCACGATACGGGTTAAAACACCAATGGTTCTTAATCTCCAACATTAATCAATATACTTCATGAGCTATTAACGCCTGGCTTATTATACATACATAAATTATCCACCAATATGACGTACATGCACACTAATACACACACATACTAATATACATACATATATGCAAACACACACACACAAACAAAACCATGTACACATATTTATATACACACAAGAAAACATTATTTATACATACAAACACGTACAGACACAACTACACACACACACATGTACACATAATAGAAATGGGAAGAAGTGAACTATGCAGACTGGGAATTTATCACACACGACCCAGTGAGGCAAGATTCTTGTGTGGGATAACTTCTACTGAAACCATCCCCGAGCTATCCCAGAGTCCCACGCTCACCCTACCACTGTCCCACGCTCACCCTGCCACTGCCCCATGGTCCCACGCTCACCCTGCCACTGTCCCACGCTCACCCTGCCACTGTCCCACGCTCACCCTGCCACTGTCCCACGCTCACACCCCGCTCACCCTGCCACTGTCCCACGGTCCCACGCTCACCCTGCCACTGCCCTATGGTTCCACGCTCACCCTGCCACTGTCCCACGCTCACCCTACCACGGTCCCACGCTCACCCTGCCACTGCCCCCATGGTCCCCACGCTCACCCTGCCACTGTCCCAGAGTCCCACGCTCATCCTACCACTGTCCCACGCTCACCCCTGCCACTGCCCCCATGGTCCCACGCGCTCACCCCTGCCACTGCCCCATGCTCACCCTGCCACTGCCCCATGGTCCCACGCTCACCCCTGCCACTGCCCAGGTCCCACGCTCACCCTGCCACTGTCCCACGGTCACCCTGCCACTGTCCCACGCTCACCCTGCCACTGTCCCACGCCCACCCTGCCACTGTCCCACGCTCACTCCTGCCACTGTCCCACGCTCACCCTGCCACTGTCCCACGCTCACCCTGCCACTGTCCCACGCTCACCCTGCCACTGTCCCACGCTCACCCACTGCCACTGTCCCACGCTCACCCTGCCACTGTCCCACGCTCACCCTGCCACTGTCCCACGCTCACCCTGCCACTGTCCACGCTCACCCTGCCACTGTCCCACGCTCACCCCTGCCACTGTCCCACGCTCACCCTGCCACTGTCCCACGCTCACCCTGCCACTGTCCCACGCTCACCCTGCCACTGTCCCACGCTCACCCTGCCACTGTCATCCTGCCACTGTCCCACGGTCACCCTGCACTGTCCATTGGCCCCATGATGACGTCACCGGGGGAAAGGGGTTAACTACCTAAATTTGAATACCAAAACAATTGACTTCATCTTATTCCCTTTTAAATCTTCTACAGTATATACATTAATGTCATATAAACGTGACGTATAATAAGTTTAAACAGTTATATAAATTGAAGTTGTTTTACCTGTGTTAATTAAAATTCACCTTGATGTAAATTTATAATCGGATTTTACGCCAAAATACGATAATTATTTTTTTTCTTCAACTTTTTATCAATTTGATCAAAAACAACAATATAAATAACTGAACAAATCACGTAATTTCAAACAACTAATTACAGTGTTAGATCATTGCCATAAATTGTCGTTCGTGTCTAACAAAAAAAAATTAAAGTCACAAAAAACTTGATCGACTCGCATACACCCAGCGGCCTACTGACTGTCTCACTACAATGTATGACACGAGCCTTTACCTGCTACTGTCCCTGTTGTTGTTGTTACCTGTTACAGTTGTTGTTATTACCTGCTATTGTTGTTGTTGTTATTACCTGCTAATGTTGTTGTTGTTATTACCTGCTAATGTTCTTGTTGTTACCTGTTACTGTTGTTGTTGTTATTATTACCTGTTACTGTTGTTGTTGTTACCTGTTACTGTTGTTGTTATTACCTGCTAATGTTGTTGTTGTTATTACCTGCTAATGTTCTTGTTGTTACCTGTTACTGTTGTTGTTGTTATTATTACCTGTTACTGTTGTTGTTGTTACCTGTTACTGTTGTTGTTATTACCTGCTATTGTTGTTGTTATTATTACCTGTTACTGTTGTTGTTATTACCTGCTACTGTTGTTATTTTTGTTGTTGTCAATGTCTGTTACTGTCACTGTTACCTACTACTGTTGTTCCTGACGGTGGTGCTACTGCTGTTCCTGGTCCTGTGCCACACATACTATCGACGGAGGCACTGAAGGGGTCAAGCCGTGACCCCCAGCGAGGTGCCAAGAATGCTGTGCCACCTGGGCCTGTGTCCATACTACCATGGTCTACCCCTGCTGTCTACTTCCTCCTGCTGTCTACTTCCTCCTGCTGTCTACTTCCTCCTGCTGTCTACTTCCTCCTGCTGTTTTCTACCTCCTCCTGCTTTCTCCTCACTTTCCCACTCGCCTCACCCTCCCTCTAGCCTCACCCTCACTCTCCCCACCCTCCCACTCTCCCTCACCTCCACCTGCCTCACCCTCCACCTCCTCACCTCCCACTGCCTCACCCTCCACTCGCCTCACCTCCACTCGCCTCACCCTCCCACTCTCCCACCCTCCTACTCGCCTCACCCTCCCACTCGCCTACTCGCCTCACCCTCGCCTCACTCGGCCACCCACACTAACAATGGTGCCACAATTCCTTTATTTCACCCCAAAAAAAGAAAGAATTTATTAGACACAGTGACCAGAGATGAATATTTATAGCCGTTTGTTTGACTTCTAAATACGGGTGTCATAGGTACTTTCTCCACTCTCTCTCTCTCTCTCTCTCTCTCTCTCTCTCTCTCAATTTTCTCTTTATTCTTTCTCTTTTGTTCTCTTTTGTTCTCTCTATCTCAATGTTTTAACTGAACATAATAGAGCATTGACATTAAGGCACAAGAATTATCTACCTGTGTAATGCCTCACCTGTATAATGCCTCACCTGTATAATGACTCACCTGTGTAATGACTCACCTGTATAATGACTCACCTGTATAATGCCTCACCTGTATAATGACTCACCTGTATAATGACTCACCTGTGTAATGACTCACCTGTATAATGACTCGCCTGCATAAGACTAGATTTCTTACCAATGGCCAACCTCGCCCCCCCTCCCCAAACCTCTCTTCACCCCTACCTGAGACACCCCTACCTGAGACACTACCCCTTTACCTGAGACTACCCCCCTCCCCCACATTATTACTCACGACCTGAAAGAAGGAAATAGCGAATTGGAAGAAAGAAAACAAAAGAGATAGAGATAGGGAGATAAGAGAGAGAGAATGGAGATGGAGGAGAGATAGAGAGAGAGAGTCTTTTGTGAGGTGTGTAAGAACCCAGGCCCTATTGTCTGTGAGTGCCTGTGAATGTCTGTTGTAGTGTTTGAGGGAGGAGGGAGGGAGGGAGGAGAGATGAGGGAGGGAGGTAGGGAGGAGAGGGAGGGAGGAGGGAGGAGGAGATGGAAGTGAAGGAGTCGGAGATGGGGGGATGAGAGAGAGAGAGAGAGAGAGAGAGAGAGAGAGAGAGAGCATTACCATGATAAAACCTTAACCCTTGTTGGTCGTTTCACTTCAGTGGTGGTGAGCGGCGCTTGTCTGACTGTCTGTCTGTCTAGTGACGTGTGGAGAGGGAGATAGAGAGGCAAGGAGGGAGGAGGAGAGGGAGGAGGGAGGAGGAGGGAGGGAGGGAGGAGGGAGGGAGGAGGGAGGGGAGGAGGAGGGAGGAGGAGGGAGAGGGAGGGAGGGAGGGAGGGAGGAAGGAGAGGGAAGCGCTTGGAGGGTGTAGATAGGGAGGGTGGGAGGGAGGGAGAGGGAGGAAAGGTAGAGGAAAAGTAGAAAGAGGGAAGAAGAATTCACGAAGTTTGGGAGAGAGAGAGAGAGAGAGAATCAAAATCCTACTAACAAGAACTTAATAGGAACGACTGAGCTATAAAACACACACACACACACACACATGACGTCACCGGGATGTTTACACCTGCTGGCCTGTTCTCATCTCTCTCTCTCTCTCTCTCTCTCTCTCTCTCTCTTGCTATATCCGTTCCCCTTCTCCTCTCCCTCCGCCTCTCCTACATTCTCCGTCTGTGTGTTCTCCTAACTTCTCTCCTTGTCTCTCTCTCTCTCTTCCCCAGTTCCTCCTCTCATTGATATCTTCCCCTTTCTCCATCTCCCTCACCCCTTAAGAGAGAGAAACTTAATCCCTCTGAGAAGTTATAAATGAATAGCCTGCGAGCGAGCGAGGTTAGGTTAGGTCAGGTCAGGTTAAGTTAGGTCAGGTCAGGTTAGGTCAGGTTAACAATATGTACTCAAAACAACATCACATTATCACGGTATAATACTCCCCCCCCCAGGTGTGACGGACAGGTAACATTTACATACCTGTGTTTGCGATTCATTTCTCGTTGCATATCTGATTTCGCTTTTAATTTTCTGCTTATTAAGGAAGTGCGTCTTGTAAGCCCTGAGTGTCTACCTGTACTGACCTGACTGGTGGGGTTGTTGAGGATCAGGAGTAGGATTGTGTGTCTCTGTTTCAATAGGTAGTTAGTGTTTGTTTATATAGTCGCCCAGGTGATGCATGTTTGAGATGGGAGAAGATAAAGTACATTAAATTAAATTAACCTAACCTAACCTAACCTAAACCTAACCTAACCTAAACCTAACCTAACCTAACCTAACCTAACCTAACCTAACCTAACCTAAACCTAACCTAACCTAACCTAAACCTAACCTAACCTAACCTAACCTAAACCCAACCTAACCTAAACCAAATCATTACTAAAGGGTTTGGACGCCTCAGTTGCTTAATGAAACCGAAAAGGTAAATTAATTCTAAATAAGGTTAATTATAATAAATACACAGGTATTCTTACGACCATTTTTCTCTCAAATTAATGTTAGAAAATTAATTAATTATATACGAGTACAAAGTAAATACCTGAATCACAAGACGAATTAAGTCAATATTAGTGATTTTTTTTAATTCTTTTCCTGTTTGTCTGTGTGGGGTGTGTGGGGGGGGGGGAAGTGTGGGCAGAGGTGTGGGCGCTGGTGGGTGGTCTTACCAGGCAGCCGTAAAGTTTTGTGTTTTGTAAATCATGGGAGAAATAGCATCAACACTCCCCCTCTCTCTCTCTTTCTCTGTCTCTCACTTCTTCACTCGTTCTTACACTCACTCTCACAACCTCCTCTCTCTCTCTCTCTCTCTCTCTCTCTCTCTCTCTCTCTCTCTCACAACCATCATGTCAGTCATTAGCTAAGGGAAAAAAATTAACTTACGAGCTTTTCAAAATCTATCGTTGTAGAATAAATTAAGCAAGAACATACACACACAATACTTAAAGGGAAAAAAATCTATCATAGGGAAAATCTACTGTAAGAACCTTTGAGAATCCTATCGTCGTATCGTAACCTAGGGGAAAAAATTAAATCGTACAGACCAATGAGAATCCACCATTATGAAACCAGACAAACACGTACGGACCAATGAGAATCCACCATTATGAAACCAGACAAACACGTACGGACCAATGAGAATCCACCATTATGAAACCAGACAAACACGTACACACACGTTTAATTACAAGGAAAAAAAATTAACTTACGATCCTTAGCGAATGATAATGGGTAATAATATCGTAGAGGCGATGACCAACAGGTATTAGATTAAGGTAAATGATGTGCAGGTACCAGAGGCAGGTACCCGTCACCTCACCTGTCGCCCTGAGCCACCTAGTCCTGAGTTAATGCACGGTATCGAACAAGGGCGGAGTGTTCGTCTTGTTGTTTACTGTTTTTGTTGTTGTTTTTTGTTTTTATTATAATTATTGTTTTAATTATTATTATTATTATTATTATTACTATTATTATTATTATTATTACTGATATTATTATTATTATTATTATTATTATTATTATTACAACTCATGACAGCCAGAAAGATGTTAGTTTAAAATATTAATAATAAACATATTTTTCCGTAAATACGTCAGCAAAAAAAAAATCTTTTATTATGAAACAAACATAGGAATCTAGTTTACAGTGTTACCAGCGCTGGGTTTTTCCTTCTTAGTTATACACTGCAGTATTACCAACGCCCGGGTGTTTGCTTCCCTGCGAATCACACAAATTTCCCCAGTGTTACTAAGTCTTTCTGTGAGTGTGTGTGTGTGTGTGTGTGTGTGTGTTTTCTTCCTACCACTACTACCACCATCACTACCACTAGTACTACCACCCTCACCACCACTACAACCACTGTGCTATTGTAGTATCCTGAGAGAGAGAGAGAGAGAGAGAGAGAGAGAGAGAGAGAT